TTTATAAATTAATATCATGATAAATTAATAAAATATTTTGATTCCGATATTATTAATTTATAGAGGTTTTACTGTAGTTTTCATTCATGTGATGCTGTTGCTGCCATTCGTGGATCTTTTTAACTTCTACAATGTAGAAAAATGTTTCAGACAAATTTGGGCCTGTCTTTGTGTTTTAAAAGGTGCAGAGGTTTAAAGCACTAACATTTGGTTGAAATGGTTTATGGGCTTATCATATTCTTGTACAGCACAGAGCAGCCTGATGTTCGATTCTCTATTTAATCTTTAACTCGTTCAAACAGTATAGAAAAGAAAATCTAATAACTTTATAATCCCTGTAAAGTCTTCAAACCATATCTAGTTAGAATATATATATAATATCTAAATAAAAATATGAAAAAAAAAAATTTTAGATACTACGTCGCATGTCACCGGCAAGGAAAAATAGTTTGCCGTATAAGAAATTAATTGGTGTAAGAAAGAACAAGTGATCGTGTAAAGGTGTTTGTATCACATTGTATATTTTTCTGTAATTGGAAAAAAGTTTTCATGTTATTTGATTTTATTATACAAATAACTATAGCAATATTTAATATCAAAATTGCTATTTGTTTTTTTGCTAAATGATATCTTTAATTCTCGGTATAACATATGTTTGAATTTCAGATGTTCAATATATATATATTGTTTGTGTTTGAATATGGAATGACTTAGGTGATAACAAACTCATTAATCATTATCTTGTTAAATGTTGCAAATGGCTTCACCAATAAGAGCATTATCAATAGATTTATCATGAGACAAATATGTTTTCTCGCCATTACAACGTCACATATTGAGCCACCACCATATATATTTCAATGTTAATCATATTTTGTTGCCGTATAAAAAGTTGAAATTATGATTATAGACCACACAGAGTTGAAGTCGAAAGAGTTTTCTTCATATATATATATAGGTGATTAGTTATTTTTATAATCCTTCGAATCTTTTCTGTATAAGTTGAGCTACTTATGGACCTGTTGTAATGAGAATCTTCTTGCAACACTCCGAAATATGAAAAATATAAATTAATATTTTTTTTTTGATAAAAAATATAAATAAATAAAAAATATAAAATTTTATTCGATTTTTGTTCTTTTGTTAAGAAATATTATTCGTCAATAAGAAGAAGAGAAGTAAGAATGATTGGGGGGGGGACCCATTAGAGACTCTTAATAGGAATACTAATCTGTTAATGAATTTATTTAACACTAAATCATCAGGTGAAAATGACAAGGTCCCATCATAAAGTTTATATAATTATGGATAGCACATTTGTAGGATTCTTAACTTATATACACTGGTCCTTTGCCAATACAAAATCCTGTATAACATAATCGAATCAAACTTAAATATTTCATATACAGAATGACCAGGGCAAGTAGGCATATTGGAAGAACAAAATTGATTTATAATGGAGTGTAGGCTCATTATTCATAAGAACCACTAACTATTCTATTTATACATCTAGTGATTTTTTAATGATTGTGGGTCGTCAAATATAGTACTTTAATTGACTTCTTTTACAGTACAATATGTGTCCGGTAGTTTAGTTATATTGATTCTATTCAATAAAGTTTAATGGAATCCTAAAACTAATATGGAATTATGTATTAATCACAACGTAGACTAGTTGAAAAAAAGTTACCAAAAAAACCCACAATCAAAATGGTCAATGATTTTTTTTTAAAGTTCTTGTTGTAAAACTAAATTTACATTTTTTAAACACACTGAGAATCAACGAATAAATATGTGAATGGTAATATATTGATGGTTTTGTTGCTGTTGGAGTGGTACTATCACAACTATTTCATATGATTACTATTCGAGAAAAAAAAAATATGTTAGCAGCAATCACATTTATTATTTGCTCATTCCTGTTTCTTTCAAGATTGGCCAGGAAAAAGAAAAAATCAACCAAGTTGTGGTCCAAGGAAAGATAGTAGACTAGACCCACTAACCTCACATTATATGGATATTAGCAGTGTCAAGTCAAGTGGTCTGCTTAAATTTCATCTATTTTCCTCCACATTTTTCTCTTAGCTTTGGGTGTAGTATCTCGCCAACCTAACGGAGAAGAATCTTCAAAAGCGATGCCAATAAAAGACATGTACGTCGGAATCATGAATATTCAGATATTTTCAGGTCATATAAGGCTGATATAGCGGTGATACAACTGAAATTACTGGCAACGATGTTGGTCATGGAATATAAATAGTTCATATGCAATTGTTTCCTACCTGGGCAACCGATCCTAGCATATGTGTAACGATTTTAAAGTTAATCAGCTACCAAATTATTTTTTTGTTAGCTAATTGTTTTGTTTAAATTCAGTTAGCTGTTGATCTTGAAGTTTGATATGCTACGGATCTCACATCACAAATGAATATACAGAAAACATTAGCGCCTCAGCGGATCTATTCAGTTTCAATTGATTTTGAATTAAGAGTATAATAATATTTTACTATGTTTTGCTGACATATTTACTCCAAAGCTAGTAAAACGTCACGATAACTATATGCTTCTAATTTTTGTTTTGCAAGAAGATGACATAATTTTAAAAGTATTAATCGATCGCGGTTTCCAATTAAACTATTTTGACATTCTACTAATTTGAATTTTGTTTTTACAATTGCGTAGTTTGAATATGTGATTTTTTGTATTTTATAATTATATAATATCATTTGGTAGTAGTCATACAAATATTTTTTTTTTAAAAAAACTAAATAAATAAGAGAAGGAGCTGAGGAAAAAAAGAAAAAAAGAGGATGTGGTTGTGAGCCATTGGATGAGAAGATTCATTTCAAAAGTTGGCCATTCGGAGCATCTTGGGATCACTGTCTGTTCGCTACTTCTCAAAGACTATTAACTGTTACTTAGTTACGCTAAACAGTGCTTTATTTCATATGTACCTTCATACCCCTTAGTAATTAACTAAATTTGTTTAAAGTGACCATCGTAATCTCTGAATCCAACTTTGCAAAAGGAACCGAATCTTTGAATCTAAACAATCTAGAATCTATCAAATTATAAACTGTTTGTACCAATCAAAATGATATGTACGATCCGCAGTTCCATTCCACGATTAAGTTTAAGCTGTTGTATATATTGGTTGATATTGGATATCTATTTATATAATAGTTATACATATATATATGTTTGGATTTTTTATTTAGTTTTGATGCTTGGTCTTTTTAACGATCATAATATTCTTCAGCAAAGCTAATATTAAAGAAGCTATACATATTTATGCTGAATTATATATATATATATATATATATATATACACATATAAACTTTTTGGCTAAAGTATACACAGTCACTATTTTGGTTTAAGTATACACATATACAGAAAACAAACTTGAATCTTAGATTTAATTGGTCGTCAAACCAAAAACCCTATGTAATTTTATAACATCAAAGTTTTTGGTGGAATGCTGTTCAAATTAGTTATAAAACTGTTTTTGGACATTTTTTGTCTTTTACTGTATTGTAATTTTAATATGAAAATGGAAATAGTAAAGGAAGGATTTCCTTCTCCAAAGCCCAACCAAAACAAAATAAAAATACAAGAAAGTTTTTAATCTAATCATATTTTTTCTCTATATAATGATGAGAAGAAGATCAGAAGGAACAACACAAAGAACCACAACACAAAAAAAAACCTAAAACTCTTTCTTTTTCCTTCTTGTCAATAGTGATCGATGGCTCACAGTCACACTAATGGCAACATCGCATCTTCTTTCTCCAAAAACTCATGTAAGCTTGCTCTTCAATTTCTCTCACTTGTTCGTAACAACTCCCACAATATCCTCAGTTTTTAAAAAGTATAGCGATTCGAATCCTCAGTTTTATCCAATTCACACATCATTTTAATTATACGTTCCTTAAATTTATTTTATTTTGCGAAAAAGCTTTAATACGTTTAACATTCACATATTATTTTCTTTTTTTAACCTCCAGTTTCATTCTTTTCGCCATTACTACTCATGTTCTTTCTTCTTTTTCCATTATTATAAAATGTATACATGATACTTTTTTTTTTGAACTTTCAGTGTACATCTTTGTAAAAAAAAAATTCAATGTACATGATCTTGTCAATTTTTTTCTTTCCTAGAAAATTACTGCAACTTAAAATGTATATTTATTAGTATTATTTGACGTTAAGTGTTATTCTAATTGTAAATTAGTTATTTATTTTATAGTTAAAGAAGTACTTAATTATTTTGATTTTACTTGTATGACGACTTCTTATAATATAAGTTGGGTGGGTACCGGTAAATCATTTGAGAGGAATGATTCACCTATCTCGCTGTCTCTGTATCTACTCTCCCGTCCCTCTTTTAAAATCCACCACGTGAGGTGATGTAATTAATTGAACTTTGTATTTTTTTTTTCTGGTTCATTGATTGTTTTTGTTGATAATAAACCCTATACTGTAGTTCATTGAAGATTAGCTTTGGATAGCGAGAGACGATAAAAAACTTCAAGGGTGTTATAAAACATAAATATAGAAATCCAGAGTTTCTACTTTCTAAGCATTTTTTCTGATTTTATGGCGTTAGATATAAATTCTACTAATTACTACGTAATCGTAGTCGACGTTGAATAAGAGTCCCAGCAGTTTATTTAATTATTTCTTTATTTATGTTCTTTTGATAATAGAATCCGTGAAGTAGAATAGCCTGGTCCTATTTTCTCAATTTTATGATACAACTTTTTTATATAAATATAGAAAAATATGACTTTGTTCATTAGAACTAATCGAATATCTTTGTCGCTTAAAAAGAAAAATCTTTGTCGCTAACTAAACCAATAAAAAAGATAGCGGATACCATAGGTTTGTGCTACAAAAATAGTTTGTGTACGTCTTTTCTTTTTCCTTTTTGGTCACAAATAATTGTGTCTAAATTAGTTCCAAGTCGTAACGTGGAAATAGTTTCATCTTGTAATAAAAGGAAAATAACGAAATGGAGGTCGTAATTTCCGTGGGACACACACTACTTTCATGCCTAAACATGTGGACAGACGAATCGGACGGTGTAGGAGATGCCACGCTTTTGCACGTCATGCCAAATTAGATTCTCCTAACGGCCCAACCGTCCCTCACCAAACTTTCCCATATTCCCTTTTTGAATTTCTGATGATCCTTTATCAGAGAAAAATTCCCGGTTCGGTTGAGGATAAACCGATCAAGAACCGGGAAATAGAAAATATGTAAACCGAATCTGGTCATGTAACCGCTTCGTGTTCCGTATGCTTCACAGCGTTCAGTCCAGGGAGAAGGAGAAATCGATCCCACAGAAATTGGATCTGCAAAGTGTTGATGCAGCCCAAGGGTAGACTTCACAACCGTAGATCAAGAAGCTTTTCGAGATCTAGACTCGCCATCGAAGGATCATAGCCATAGAGTTTCTTCATGATGTAATGCAGAAAGATATAGGATTTAGGGACTTTCCATATGCGTTTCTGGATCGATTCGATTGACATTGAGTTGAATTTGGTAATTGTTTAAATCATTGATTCGATGATCGTTTATTTTTCTCTGGTTTCAGGGGAGGAGCGTGAAATCCAGAAAAATTACTGGAAAGAGCACTCAGTGGGCTTGAGCGTTGAGGCCATGATGCTTGATTCCAAAGCAGCTGATCTCGACAAAGAAGAACGACCTGAGGTAAATCTCGACCTAAAGTTATCATCTTTGTTGTTGTTCAGCTGAGTTTGAGTCTCTTCGTCTTCGGTTTAGAAATTAGCAGAAAAATGAAATGCCTTTGAACCAAATAGAAACGTTATCCATGTTTTCTTTGTCACCAAAACGCTTTTATGTAGTTTCTTAGTTCTTTGCTGCTGTCCTTTTGCCATTTTGATGAAAGCTTTCATTTTTAAAAAATGTCTTAATTTCTGTGCCATTGATGAGAATGAAAGGTTTCGAGGCTTAAACTTTTTGTGTGCACGTGCCAGATACTTGCGCTTCTTCCTCCGATTGACGGGAGAACGGTGCTCGAGTTTGGAGCTGGCATTGGTCGTTTCACTAGTGAATTAGCCCAGAAGGCTGGCAAGGTCATTGCGGTTGATTTCATTGATAGTGTTATCAAAAAGGTGAGATCACGCTTATGCTTGTTCTTTCTAGCTACTTACACGCCACTCGTCTTTTTACCGGGATGAGAGTTTTCTCTGCAGAATGAAAACATCAATGGGCACTACAAGAACGTCGAATTTATGTGCGCTGATGTCACATCCCCGGATATGAACTTTTCTGACGAGTCTATGGATCTGATATTCTCGAACTGGCTGCTAATGTATCTCTCTGATAAAGAGGTAACCAATTAACTTAATTACTGCGGGAACCACTTTAGACCAGTATAAACTTAGATTAAGCGCGTGTGGTAATCCAAACAAATGCATTTTGGGACTCTTATGTTACCTTACACGGAAGTAGTTGCTAATATTTCTTGGCCTTTCGAAAAAGCTACACGATAAGGCATCTTAGCTTCACTCATCTGCGTGTCATGTGATAGACACATTAATCACTTGTCCATATTTTTCTTTGCGGTTTCAAGAGTGGTTTAAATCTTCATATAGTCGGTAATGTAAATCCCTTGACAAAGTTAATGTCTTTTCATCAAATTTACAGGTTGAAGATTTGGCGAAAAAGATGTTACAATGGACGAAGGTTGGCGGGTATATTTTCTTTAGGGAGTCTTGCTTCCATCAGTCTGGTGATAACAAGCGTAAGTACAACCCAACACACTACCGAGAACCCAAGTTTTACACAAAGGTGTGCCACCTTTATTATATATTCCTCCATTCCTCTGTTTCTAGGCCATGATTTTGAATTCTTGTGCATGAATATTACTTTCAGCTTTTCAAAGAATGCCATATGAATGACGATGTTGGGAATTCGTACGAACTCTCTTTGGTTAGCTGTAAATGCATTGGGGCTTATGTGAGAAACAAAAAGAACCAGAACCAGGTAATAAGCCTCTTCATGTCCTTACCACCCAACTTTGATCGTATCTATCGTACGAGTGGATTGATATTTAAAATTTTTCACAAATTTCAGATATGCTGGCTTTGGCAGAAAGTCGGTTCGGATAACGATAGGGGCTTTCAACGCTTCTTGGACAATGTTCAGTATAAGTCTAGTGGTATCTTACGCTATGAGCGTGTCTTTGGACAAGGGTTTGTGAGCACAGGGGGACTCGGTAGGCTCTTTAGTCATTGAGTTTGTGTCTTCTTTGCAGTATTGATGGTTCTGTATTTGAATTCTAAAGTGAACTGATCTACTATTCGTTTATTTATTATATGCAAATGAAGGTATTTTTTTCTTCTTACTATGGTTTTTTTTTTTTGGACCTTTGATATAGAGACAACAAAGGAATTTGTTGGTATGCTGGATCTGAAACCCGGGCAGAAAGTTCTAGATGTTGGATGTGGAATCGGAGGAGGGGACTTCTACATGGCTGAGAACTTTGATGTGGATGTTGTGGGCATTGATCTATCTGTAAACATGATCTCTTTTGCACTTGAACACTCAATAGGACTCAAATGCTCTGTGGAATTTGAAGTAGCTGATTGCACCAAGAAGGAGTATCCAGATAACACATTTGACGTTATTTACAGCAGAGACACCATTCTGCATATCCAAGTATAAGCTTCCGCTTTTTCTTCTTCCCTTATGGCTTCATTCTCAAATTTGTAATCGCTGGTCATGCTCTCAGGACAAGCCGGCATTGTTCAGAACATTCTACAAATGGTTGAAGCCTGGAGGAAAAGTTCTCATTACCGATTACTGCAGAAGCCCTAAAACCCCATCTCCAGATTTTGCAAACTACATCAAGCAGCGAGGTTATGATCTTCATGATGTACAAGCATATGGTCAGGTATACAGAGATATATATAGAACCCCACGCTCCTCTTCTACTTACTTTAAAATCACCAAAGAGTCGTCCTAAAACTTATTTGTTTCAACAGATGCTGAAAGATGCTGGATTTGATGATGTAATCGCAGAGGATAGAACCGATCAGGTAAGAAACATTTCTCTACATAAACTATACGTATGCTCTTCTGAAAATGACCTCAAAAGACCTCAAAAAGCATTTTGTTGATTGCTTTTTGCAGTTTATGAAAGTTCTGAAACGGGAACTGGACGCAGTGGAGAAGGAGAAGAAAGAGTTTATCAGCGACTTCTCGAAAGAGGATTACGAAGAGATTGTAGGCGGGTGGAACTCTAAGCTACTCAGGAGCTCAAGTGGTGAACAGAAGTGGGGTTTGTTCATCGCCAAGAGAAACTGATTAAAATTAAATTAAACGGCACAAATAAATCTTGTTATGCGCGCAAGATCAACAAAACCCAAATCCTGTTTGGTATCTATTTACTTCAAGCTATATGTTCAGTTTGGTAATTATTGTGAATATGTGATATAAGTTATTCCAATGTTTCATAAGTAATGTTTTAAAATTTTATTTCAAATCATATTATGTGATGTTTCCAAATGTTCAACCAAAAAAAAAAGGTCTGATTTGTGTTATTAAGTAAGATGGGCATGAATTTTTACCGAAAGCCTTCATTTGCTGTAGGATCATTCAAATGTACAATACTGCCAAATTTTTAACGATGTGTCTCTCTCTCAAATAAGCTCAAGTGGGGTTTGTCACATCGCCAAAGAGAAACTGATTATGGCATTCTCAATTAAATATTTAACAACGACATAAAAAGATCTGGTGTTAAGTACGTAAAATCAACAAAACCCAATTCCAGTTTGGTATTTAATCTCTTCTAGCTATGTTCCAGTTTGGTAATTAATGTGATATTAGCTAGTAGTATTAGATTAAATGAGTTTGACATAGAAGAGCTCGAACTTTTCATGATTAGACAGAAACAAATTACTGAACCAGAGTGATAGTAATTCACTTGGCCAACGGACTTGGAATTACATATAGAGGGAGACTAGTCTGGCTTCTTTGACCTATTACTATATATCTCCGGTTAACATACGGAAAAAAAAAACACACGATCTCGATTTCAGCTTGATTAAGCCCTAAAGAGAGAAGAAGTCGGTTTTAGAGAAGGACAAGATCTCGACTTCAACTTTGAGGGTATCGTTGACGAGGAAACCTTTGGTTGCGTTTTTGATATCTGCGAGAGTTACAAACTTGTCCAAACCCCATCCGTTTTCTGTTGCATTGGGCCATCCCTCCACTATATATACAGGAACAAATCAAAAGCTAAATTAACAAAACATTTTAAAAACTAATTAAGGCTCATTAACAGGCCTAAAATACTCTAGTCTAAATTAATATATAGTCGAGGATGAGAAAGGAAATGTAGAGTTAAAACACTGACATTGTTTCTCCAAATGGGTAAATCGGATTTGGTCAAGAACTCGTAACTTGGCTCGCACGTAATCTGTTTCATTTGACGCACTCAACAAAAAAAGTGACAACGAATTACCCGTTGCAGACCCAACTCCATTTGGATACACTTTCAACACCCTACACAGCCATCATATAAATTAGCACATACTGTGTATGAATCTCTATGTAGAAAGAGATAGAGAAGGGAGAGTCAAAAAGGGTTACCAGTTTCTTCCTCCGCAAGAAAACGAACCAGAAGTGTAAGAGTTACGATCGAGGGTGGAGAATTGAGTGATCTTCCAACAGTAAATAGGGTCTCGAATGTTTTCTTCGTTAGAGAAAACTTCCCATTTCTTGAAAGGTTCAGTAACGACGACGTCAACGCCAAACACACTTCGTCCGCCGTCGAAAACGAACCCATTTGTCGTCGTCAAAAAAGACGAAAGCGAGATCATGGTTGGGATTCCCCACTGTGGTTTGAACATATGAAATCGCTGTGGCTCATTGTCTGCAAAACCCGAATATATAAAATCCATACTAGTCTCGTGAAACCAGACATAGATTAATTTGTTACAAGAAGTAGAAAGTGCACATTAGTTACGTTATAACTTATACGTACGGTACCTTGGAATGTTAAGTACTGGTCTTTAATCTTACTGTATATGAAGAACTTGATCTCTGCATTCACCTCATTGGTCATTAAGCTTGAGTTATGGATTCTAGCGTAAACCGAAATGTATCCATTCACGTTATCTTGCTTGTTCCCGTTCGGGTAGATCAGAAGCGACCTTACAAACATTTTTAGAGAAACGGTCAAATTATATATATAAAACAGATACAAATGAAATTTTGAAAGCTATACGTACGTACCAATTGTATCCACCAATGGAGAAAGGGCGTGACTCGTACTTGCCAGTATTGACCTGTTTCAACATGGTCGCAAAAGAATCGAACTGCACGCAGTAAGAATTTGGAGGAAGCTGCCTGTAGAAGTAACTCGTTTGTGCTGAGAGCTTCTCTTGATTTTGAGCAGGAACTGAGTCAGAGCGAGATTTATGGGCGTTGCATGGCAAATTCCTTGATGAGTACGTGGCACCCAAGAATCCTTCTTCTACTGCTGCTTCTGCCTCCATTAGGTTTTGCTTAAAGTTATCGTAAGGCTTTGCGATTCTCACGAGTCCCACAACCAAAACAACACAGAAGAAGCAGTACACAAAGACGACTGATCCATACTTTGCTTTCTTCTCCTTTTCCTCTGTAAACATTTTTTTTTTCCCTATGTCTGTAACGTTTCCTGTTTTGTGTCTATATAGACATCAATTATTCTACTGAGTCTCCAATGAATGTCACGAGGCAAATGTTTCACAAAAACCAGTATAGATTGTTCGTTATACCGAATTGTAGATATTTCCTAACTTTTTTGGGACATTTTAAGTCTATTAATTTTGATAGGGACATTTCACCCCCTATCTTCTTCTATTAAATCTGATCGAACTGTAGATATTTCCTTACTTTTGGGACCCTTTAAGTCTAATAATTGTATAGGAAATTTCATCTCCTATCTACTTCTATTACCTCTGATCCTACAAATTATTTGTTATACCGAATAATTAATGTTTAGTCATAAATAAACACTTTTCATTAATTATGAACCAATAGTAATTCCTAGAAAATTAAATATTCTCGATTAGTATATTTTAGAAATTTTAAAATTTATAAAGGGTAACCTTTATGTCAAATTTCAAACCTAGTGTAAAAACATCTATAAAAAACTCTTTATTAGTTACAGGGCCTAGAGAAGTAAAATTAAGAGACAAATGATTCAATAGGATTATACGCCTAAATATAAAAATTAGTACATGTTTATTTGAGGATTTTTTCCCTTTTTAATTTATTCTTTAAATTTACAATGCGTTGATGAGTGCTAGCTAATATATAGACTCTGCTTCCGCATAAGGTTTTGACAAATCAGTGAGACATGTTGTGGTCATAACGTTAGATGATCCAAAAGTTTTCGGCCAAAACCAAGACTAGAATGGGACTCTGACCGATCGAGTCAGATGGTTCTGACTTTCAAGGAAGGATCTCAAATGAGGACATTTGAGCTACGTGTGAATAGAGCCAATGAGCTCGAGTGTAGAATAGTCATTTTTTTATCGTCGTGTTGAATAGTCATTCTAAAAAACATAACCTTTTTTTTTTTTTATTGAATGAATGTTAAATATTAAGATATACATAAAACAGAGAGTCGACTCTGTCTTCCTTGACCTTCAAGGAAAACGGCAAATCTTGTTTGGGTGTGTCTCTGTGTATGTAACAATACGTATATCATACACGCACGCATCTATTTTGATTTTTGGGGTACAAAGAGAAAGAGAAACATAACGTGGGTTCCACTGTATTTATTGAGTTCTAAAATGCGAATACATAGTTTGGATTTTGAGTCAAGATCGATGATGATTAATAGTTTATATGGCTTTTGGAAACTATTTAATAGCAGAAAGACCAAATACATATCCGTTGCTTGACTAGAGAGATGTTACCCTTCTCATTTATGTTTTATTAGGTTAATTCAAATCGATGGATTGGTATGTATTGTTGACCAGAGATTATATAAAGAGCGATGCACAATTGAGCCTGTTGAGGCTAGTAAATAGTTGCCTAAAATATATAAAAGGAATATATGATTTCCTATTCGAATAATTTACATATACACGTCAACTTTCGTGCTGAATGCTATAGATTATTCGTTGAATTTCAGATTTGTGTTCCAAAATCTGATCCACAATGATAACATTTATGAAAACTTCAAATTCGTTGAATTGGATTATGCAATGTATCTTGAAATTCGTACGTAGTGTATAAATAATTACTCTTTTCTCCGAGGTAAAAAAACATCTCGTTTCCACCATTTCTTATTCGGAATATTTACCAAACTTTCTTTCAAATAATATGAAATCCGCTATGTTCTCCAAAGTGCTGCTGTTCGGATTCTTGTCCAATTGCATGTTTTATGTTGTTTCTGCGCAACAAACATATGGAAATTCAACGGTTTCGGCACTTTTCGCTTTTGGAGACTCAATACTTGATACGGGCAACAATAATCTTCTTTTAACTCTTACTAAAGTCAACTTTTTCCCATACGGTCGAGACTTTATCGGCGGAAGAGCCACGGGAAGATTTGGAAATGGGAGAGTTTTCTCGGATATGATTGGTACATTGATCTTTGCAATTTTTTATAGTTTGTAACGTTTTCATTCAATAGGAAAACAAAAGAGATAGATTGTAACGGTTCAATTAATTTTGGGAACTTTTATATGTCTCAAATAATATTGATGATTTTATTACATTGTCTTTATGTGCAGCTGAAGGTTTGGGTTTGAAGAATCTATTGCCAGCATATCGTGATCCTAGTCTTTCGAGCAATGATCTACCGACTGGTGTTTGTTTTGCATCCGGTGGATCTGGACTTGATGTTATGACTGCTAGAATACAAGTAACAATTAAATTTATGTTGTGCAAAGTAATTTATAATAATCATTTTCTGTTTAACCTTTTTTTTTCAAAATAGATTAATTTATTTTGTGTTGGTGAATGTTTTCATTTAGGGAGTTATATGGGTGTCAGATCAGGTGAAAGACTTCCAAAACTACGTCACGAAACTAAACAATGTCGTAGGAAGTCAAGAAAAAACAAACGAAATTATATCAAATGCCGTTTATTTAATCTCAGCGGGGAATAACGATATTGCTATCACATATTTCATGATGCCAATTAGAAAATTACAATACACTCTTCCAGCATACACTGATCTCCTCGTCACTTGGACTCGTGATCTCATAAAGGTACGTACATCATAAAAAAAAAAAAGAATTCATGTGATTAGTTTTTCTGTCAAAATGTAATCTAAATTATTGTATTGTTTCTTTTTGTTGTTGGAAGAGTTTATACGATATGGGTGCAAGAAAATTCGCGGTTATGGGAACACTACCGCTAGGTTGCTTACCGGGAGCAAGAAACATGGTTGGAAATCTAATGAAAATATGTGAAATCTTTTCCAATCAAGCAGCTGAAATGTTCAACAGGAAATTATCTGCCGAACTTAGCAATCTTGGCACAACATTCCCGGGTGCCAAATTCATGTATATAGATATGTACAATCCTCTTCTTGGTCTCATCAACAACCCCCAAGCTTCAGGTATTGACTTGATCTAACAACACAACTCATCTATGCAATATATAAGCGTTACAGTAGATAAATAAAAATTTTGATACCTTTAATTAAGATGCTATATCATTCGTTGGAAATGTAGGGTTTATTGATGTAGCTGATGGATGTTGTTGTACGCCAACGTCTGTAATACCGTGCTTAGACGCGTCACGTTACGTGTTTTGGGATGTTGCTCATCCAAGTGAGAAGTCATACAAAATGATCACACCAAAGATTATTGAAGATATCAGAGAACAGCTCGCATGATCAAATTCTCAAAGCTTTTTAATTAGTTTGTTATAGCTAATACTGAAATGAAATGTTGTGATAGATCATGTTTAGAGAAATAATAATAAGTTCACAGTAATCTCAAACTCTATATTTTCCATTCTTGTTAACAAACATTTTGGATCTTTTGTGTTGGCTTGACCCCTCTCACCTTCTCCGATCCAAATTAAAAATCTATAGTCTGTTGTTTGTAACGTGTGTATTCTTCTTCATCACAGAGTAGTTATGTGGCTGCATAAATACATGTCATAAATTCCGCAAAATTCAACACCGTATAGTATTAGCCATTTATATTAGGGTTTCGATTCAAGTTATGGGCCTTTATATGGGTTTTTGTATGGATTATGGACCGTGGAGGTTTCTGAAAATATATAAACTAACATCAAACGGTGGATTTTACTCAATGATCATCACGTACTGTTAACAAATTAAAAATGTACCATCCTGTTTTTGCTTATCACGTGCATCCCTTTGTCGCGACATTTAGAACATGACTTTTCCAAATTGTTTCATAATTAATCAACAAGTTTAAGATTTATCAATGATATCGGCAATTTCTCTTCGATTCGATCCATATTCTTACTTTGATAAGAGGGCCTTCAAACACCGTAGTCAAGGAGCATCTTTTTATGTCGATTGTGATAGTACTAAAAATATATATATACACTTTTCTTACAGCTTTTGTTCTTTTGTAAGAACATATCTATAGATTTAAATCCCACTGGTCCGTAGCAGGATTCCTTTGCCTGTCACATGAATCCAAAATCTCACGTGAACCTTAGTTTTTGAACTAGTCCTCATTTCGATAAATGTAGTGTAGTAGTGAACTTTTTCATTTGTTGTCGATAATTTTAACTTTTAACACACCCATCAAATTCTTTAACAGGAAGAAAACCATACACACCCATCAACTTCTAAATGACATTAATATTAGAATAAGTAAAAATTACCCTTGAATTTATTTGCTGTCGTATGATTTTACGAACAAGGAAATGATATACTACTGTATACAATTTTTTAGTCTTCTGACAGCCTCGAGAGGTGAGATAAATTTTGTCATGATTACATTCCCCAAATTACACACATTTTTTTTTTCGCTAACACCGTTCTTCTGCAACAATGCAAAAATGTTCCATTTTTCTCTAAACTGGTGAATCAGATTGATAACGAAGTGTTAGTCTCGTAGACAGCATCCCTAAGCTTAAACTGCGATTGAAGCTAAAATTGTTTATTTTTTTTCTTAAAACAATACTGCTTTGCTGAAATAACTAATATATATGGTACCAATAAACAGTTCGAGAACATTTTTAGAAAATAATACTGTAATTTAAACTAATTTGAACTTAAAAAGAATTAGTAATATCCAACAGTTTGCCTGCATCATTAGAACTAGTAGGAAAGGGTTGTATGGAGTGTTACACTACTTCTTCTTAGAAACAAAAAACACAATTATGTAGAAAATTATGGCCCATTTTGGATCTCATGATCCATTTTGGATCTCATGCCCCGTTAACTCGAGTTCGCTCAAGGCTTATGGTGTCCGTTGAACCGTTGAACCAGGGAGAAGTCTTCATTATAGCACTTCAGTGCGTTTCTACCGGAGCCGACCGAATCAACCGATAGGATTTATCGAAAAAAAAAAAAATCCAACAGTTTGATAAATATTAATAAGAATGCTTTATCGCTTTTTAAAGTTTTAAAACTCGAAAACTCCTACTAAATCCCAGCTACGAAATAATATTAATATTTTATTTCGTACTAAGTTGTTTGTAAATATTTCCTCTCGACTTCGCGCTTTACATTTTAAATAATTTTATAAACCCTTTTAAAAATGAAAGAAAAAATATTAATAAGATTAAAAAAGAGTCTGCTTCTCCCTATAAAGAGAAAATCCCCAAAAGCAATGAGAAATGAGAAGCTGGTCTTACAGTCTTCGTCTTGTATTCGAACTTGAATCAAAATTAACAACCATCAATGGCTTCTTCAATATCCCTCCTCCTCCTCCCGCTCCTTCTTCTTCTCTCCCACGCTTCAGGTATTCTTCCTCTTTACACAATTAATCTCGGACATTTTAGATTTAAACTCATACATTAATCACATCTAATGAAAATAAATGACATTGGGGTTTAATTTTACTCTTTTTTTTTTAATTGCTGTGTGATATAATAAGCTTCAACGGTAATATTCTACAACAAGTGCACATACACAGTCTGGCCTGGGATCCAACCTAGCTCCGGTCAGTCACTTCTCGCCGGCGGCGGTTTTAAACTGTCTCCGAACAGAGCTTATAGCCTCCAACTTCCACCGCTTTGGTCCGGTCGCTTCTGGGGCCGCCACGGCTGCTCCTTCGGCAAATCCGGCCGTGGTCGCTGCGCCACCGGAGACTGCGGTGGTTCTCTCCTCTGTAATGGAGCCGGCGGTGTACCTCCGGCTACACTCGCCGAGATCACCCTCGGTCATGACCAGGACTTTTATGACGTCAGCCTCGTTGATGGGTATGTCAAATAGCTAACTAAACAGTTCATGTCTCGTTTAAACCAAAATTTCGAATGTTTGGTTTAATTCGTTGTTTTATGTTCGGTTTCGTTTAGCGTAGGAAAAAAACCCGTAACCATTAAAACTGAACTGAACCAAACTATATATAATCTATTTCAGTGTTCTTGAATCAATCAAAAAAATTTGTTCAAACAAAAGTATATATGTCATATGCCTATTTAAAATAAATAAATATTATCATGTTTTTATAAATATAATCAGCACAAGTTAAATAATTATTTCACTGTTTTCTATCTTTTAATTTTTAGTCAAAATATTACTTCACTATGTTTAAGTGAATTTTTGAATAAACCAAATCCAAAATTTAAGTAAACCGAACCGAAACTTAACTAAACTATATTTGGTTTTGTTTATATAAACCGTTTATACCAAAAAAACAAGAAAAACCAGACGCAAACTAAATTGCCCACATCTGCTGAATATTAATTTGTTTGCGTACTCTTCCATACTAACTGTCTTGTTATAAATGAAAATGACAGATATAACTTGGCGATGTCAATAATGCCGGTGAAAGGAACAGGAAAGTGCAGCTACGCCGGTTGCGTGAGCGATCTGAACCGGATGTGTCCGGTTGGTTTACAAGTCCGTTCACGTGACGGGAAACAAGTAGTAGCCTGTAAAAGCGCCTGCTCTGCCTTTAACTCCCCACGCTACTGTTGTACCGGCCCGTTCGGTAACCCACAGTCTTGCAGGCCCACGGCTTACTCCAAGATCTTCAAGGTTGCTTGCCCTAAGGCCTACTCCTACGCCTACGACGACCCTACTAGCATCGCCACGTGTTCCAAAGCTAACTACGTCGTCACTTTTTGCCCCCACCATGCCCGTTGATTCAAATCTCACTTTCCCTTCATAATATGAGAATGAATATTACGTTATTATTTAGTCAGTACGAGGTTCTTCTTTGATCGTTGGGTAAAACTTGCTAAGTTTATGAATTATCATTGGACATTGGGTTAACATATCTGTCGGTAATCGGAGTTGCTACTTGCGAGAATGTAAGTTTGGTTCGATAATTAGCTATCACCAAATATAAGAAATTCGATTTTATGGCAAATTTTGTTAGCGTCTTGGTTTGTCCATGGCTCCATTTTTTCCCTCATCGTCTCTCCGACATCATTTCTTAGTTTTCAACTTCGATTCACTCACAGAATCCTACTACCCCCCACATAATTTACTGTTACAATTTTTTAAGTTACAAATGTATATTTGATAAATTCTTCAACATAGAGATAGATATTGATTTTACGGCATGGATGTGATTTTACATTCTTCAAGAAAAAAAGAAATCTGTCATAGAAATATCATATGACAGGCATAGTTCAAAACTTTTCAATATATATCTTGCCCACACAAATGTGTCTTATAAAAATATTCGGGACTATTACTCTCATGTTGGTTTACTTACTCTCTTCCCACTAATCTTTTTATACCACTTTGTATAACCAACAAAATTGAATATCTTTTACCGGAAAAGGTCTCTCACTCTAAGCCACTTGTAATTTCAGATTCTCAATAGAGGCAGACATTGACTTGTCGTTAAGAACCTATTCCTTATTTTGATACCCACTATGCAATCAAATTGTAGCATACTACAACTATACGACTATAGTCTATACAATAGAACACTAAAATCGAAGAATCAATAAAGGAATCGTACAAATCATCAACTTGTTAATAAAATAAAACTGATAACAAGAGTAATTATTAGTCAAGAAAAAAAAATTATTAGTCAAGGAAACAAACTAACGCATAGATTATTGCGATAGAAAGAAATATCTCTCTTTTTTTATCCAAAAAAGAAATATCTATCTCTATATTACTTTCAACCAAAAAATATATATATTTAGTTTTTTTTTTGTCGTATATATTTAGTTAATAGTGAAGGGTAGCGATAGAAAGGGAATCGAGCATCGTCCAAAAAAAAACAAAAGAAAAAGGAAAGCATCAAACGAAATTTTTCATTATCGCGGTCTCTATAAAAAAACGTAAAAAATCAGAAGCCAAAAGATATTACGAACCCAAAACTGCAAAACGAAAATGGCGACCGCGAATCCTGACTCCACCAACAAATCCACGACGGATCTAGAGCTTAAGAAGGTATTCGACCAGTTCGATTCCAACGGCGACGGGAAGATCTCGGTTTCCGAGCTCGGAAACGTCTTCAAATCGATGGGAACGTCGTACACGGAGACGGAGCTCAACCGCGTATTGGACGATATCGACATCGATCGCGACGGCTACATCAACCTAGAAGAGTTCGCCACCATCTGCCGCTCATCCTCCACCGCCGCAGAGATCCGTGAGGCTTTCGATCTCTACGATCAGGACAAAAACGGCTTGATCTCGTCTTCAGAGATCCACCAGGTTCTCAATCGTCTCGGTATGACCTGCTCCGTCGAGGACTGTGTGAGAATGATCGGGCATGTGGATTCCGACGGCGACGGAAATGTCAATTTCGAGGAATTTCAGAAGATGATGGCGTCACCTGAACTCCTCAACAAGCAAGGATCCTCCGCCTAGGGTTTCGAGTCGCCCCCTTTTTTTTTTTTTTAATCTTCCTTTTTTGTTTTTGTTTTGTGTTATGACTTATGAGTCTGTGGATCTATGGAAATTTGGTACTTTTTACATTTCTAGGCTAACAACAAATCCGATCTCTTCTTATATGGAATTATGAGCAAGCTAGCTTCTGCAATTATGATTGATTACTTGAAATTTTAATCATTCGATAAGCAAATTGAAAACTTCGGCTTTTAGTTTCTAATCCATTAGGATTATGAATCGTTTTCGAACGAAAAAGGATATAAATTTGGACGATGATTTTATTAGAAGAGACAAGAGTAACAGTCGGTTAAATTAATTATACGAAAGGGACTCAAGCGGTGGCAATTCTCGTCGTCATAGCAATCCAAAATCCAAAATTTGGATGCTGAAATCGCTATTTGATTATAAAATTGTACAGTATTTTATTTTTGTTTGTTTGGTTTACTCCACTACGACTGCTTTATACTAGACTTGGTCAATACTGATGCTATTTGTGTGGAGAACTTGTTCAAACAGTTCCTTTCTAAAAATACAACTATAATTTATAATTGTTCATTTTCCTTTTTTAGGTTGATGTAGAATGGAATCTGTTTTTTTTTTCTTAAGAAATTGAGAAACAAGTAATAAAAGGGCCCAAATTACGCCAAGGACGAGGCCCACACGTTTTTCCCCTTGGAGATAGAAGAATCCTTTTGGACAGATTGTACTTCACGTGAGTTTAATCAAATGAAAGTTGTTAAAAAAAAAAACAAAAAAGACCAGAGGCCATTAAAAAGAGGTTCACCGCTTGGTTCATTTTAACAAGTAGTGGCCTTTTTAAGGGACAAAGGCTTGGGCCCAAAGAGTATTTTTAACATCCCGAGGGTTTCTTTTGTCAATACACACATATAAATATATAAGGTTGGACTGTGAAATGTCATTTTCTTAGTTCTTGTAATGCCTAATGGTACAATTTATCTGATATCTCCATCTCCCCACTTAAACTGGTAGAGAGATTTCGTGTTACGTACTTTAGTTAGATAACTTGCATTCAACTCAATATTGGCATGTAGCCCCTTTTTATTCACCCTGATCTTTATTAACAAATTGATCCCTTTTCCTTTCCCGTAATATAAATTGACAAATTGTTTTCAGACTATATAACTAATCAACATTTTTTTGTTCTCAAGCATTTATCATGCAATAAACTATTTACACTAGTATATATATATATATATATTATAATCAAACCTAAAAACGCAGGTTCTCAACCATGGTAATATATAGTCATTATTAAAAATTTACAGTTACACCAAATAACACATCTCTTTCTTTAAGCAAAAAAAGAAAACAAAAACACCAATGCGTCAAGTAAAACTTGGTGTAAAACATAACTTTAAAAGCGTGTGATCTTAGGTGAAAAATGTCAACGAAATAGAAAATAGGTATTGATTGATTGAACATCATGATTTCCAATAGCTGTATATTTCCTAATCAACAGAATAAAGGTACACAAGGGAACCAACCACTATAAGTAAAAACAAAAAACAACATATAAGCGAAGGCAGTAATATTTTGTCACAGCATGTGAAAGACGATGGCATGACTTTGTAACTATTTTTTTTGTTTGTGTGTAATCCCAACAAAAAAAAACAATCATAAAAGCAAGACAACGTTATCATAATGTTGTAATCCATGGTTTCACATGCCAACAGCTGCACTTATGATTATGAACCCTCTCTTATTAATCTTAAAACCTAATCAACCAATACATAATTAATATATAACACCATATTCTCGATTTTATTGATTTATTAACATTATTACAATCTCTTTGACGCCATCTTTATCTCATCATATATCTTCCTTTAATGAAGAGCACTACTGATAGTAGTACACTATAAAACTGTCCACAGAAACTAAAATACTAATGATTTGACTATAAAAAAATATATCAAATCCAATTTTCAACCAAAAGCCAACCAAAATCAGCGGAGAAACTTTCTTTTTTTCATTTCTTCCTTTTCTTCTTTCCTAGTCTTCAGATTTTATACTTCACCTTTCTCCTTCTTAGTCGTAACATATAATTATTAAAAAAAAACACTAGTCAAAAGAGGAACTCTGTTATCGGAAAAATGGCGGAGGATTCATACGACGAAGAATGCGACTACCTGTTCAAAGCGGTTCTGATCGGAGACTCAGCCGTCGGAAAATCAAACCTCTTGTCAAGATTTTCCAAAGACGAGTTCCGGTTCGACTCTAAACCAACCATAGGAGTTGAATTCGCTTACCGGAATGTTCAAGTCGGAGATAAAATCATCAAAGCTCAGATTTGGGACACCGCAGGTCAAGAAAGGTACAATATATAAAGCGTATATGTTTTCTTTTATAACGCTTAAATGTTCTTTAAACGCAAAAGCGCTAAACTCATATACTGTTTTGGCGTTTAAAATGAAACATTTGTGAGCGATCAAACTCACGGACATAATTTTGCGACCTCGTGACTACTCTACTCTGTTCCTTATTTTGTATCTTCTTCTTTTTTTTTGTCTATATTTTCTATCTTTTCTTTTGATCTTTTTTAGACACAATTTTTTTATATATTCTATCACAAACTTGAGGAAATAAAGAAGTGAAGTAACAAAAAGATTAGTAAGAATTTATCAGATTGTTTATTTTGTAACTATGAGTGAAAATAAGCTCTAATCCTTGTAATTTCTTTTGTTTTCTTTATGAGTGAAGATTTAGAGCAATTACAAGCTCTTACTACCGTGGAGCATTAGGAGCATTGCTGATTTACGACGTCACAAGACGAACAACTTTCGAAAACATCAAGAAATGGCTTTTTGAGCTCAGAGAGTTCGCCAATCCTGACATCGTCGTTGTCCTCGTCGGCAATAAATCCGATCTCCGACAATCGAGAGAAGTCGAAGAAGCTGAGGGTAAGACTCTCGCTGAAGCAGAAGGTCTTTATTTCCTCGAGACTTCGGCTTTAGAGAACGTTAACGTCGAAGAAGCTTTTCTCGTGATGATCGGACGGATACATGAGGTTGTGAGCCAGAGGATCGCTTTGGACAATAAATCCAACGGCGTTGCAACAGCTCACGTTAACGGTAACGGTACGGTTCTTCCCGCCGGTAAAGAGATTGTGAATATCCACGAAGTAACTGCTACTCAACCACTAAGCTCTACTCGCAATTGTTGTTTCCAGTAAATAGTTAATGTATTTTTCTGTGTTTTTTTGGGTTATTGTTTTGGAATACTTATGATGATGTTTAAATTCATGTATTCGTGAAAATTTTGACTTGGTTCGGTACTTGGATTTTAAGACATAACACAATCTGAGATCCGGTTCTTGTTATTGATGTCTTACAAGCAATTGTTTTACACAATTTTATCAGAGTATTGTAAGAACAGAAAATATAAACTAAGAATGTGTTTTGTTCCCCACAAATCAGTAATCTTTACGTAGAATCTCTTTGCCTTTGTTGATGTCTCCTCTAACTTTCTTGCACGTAATAAATAAAAAAAAGAAGGAAAAGCCAAGCTCATTAGTCATCACTAGAAAAGATACAAAAGAGATGAAACACTGAAAATGGATAGAGATACTTACTAAACAGGCGTTTCTTCAGGGAGATTCCGGCTGTAAAATGGAAGCTCAAAGAGAAACACAGCCTTAAACCATCCTGGTAAGTTCCCATACACTCCTCTCGGTAACAGAATCAGAGGACTAAAGATTGATCAAAGATAGAATCGAATTACTAGCTTTATAAGTATATAACACATATTGAAGCTAGCCTTATTAAAACGTTATCTTTAGCAAGTGCATATCGCGTTAAACCTTGTTGTTTTCTTATAGAAACGGTAAGCTCCCAAGTTGCCATGCTTTTTGTCAGCCGATGCCTGTTTATATTCAAGTCACCCATAGTAGATTCAGAAAATTGTCTCTAACTAAGTAGAGAAAGAGAGTGAGAAATAAGTAGGGAAAGAGAGTGAGAAATAAGAGAGAGAACCTCGAGTAATGGTATGCCACTGACGAACAGAAGTAGCAAGGTGAGAAAAACTGGTCCGAATATGACAAGATACTCTGCACCATGTAGAGCCGGCGATGCAGCCACAAAGATACCCCACCACAGTAACATCTGATGGACATATCCCATTCATGTACAGAGATCAAATGGGTTTTACGATAACCATTTATACGAGAAGAACAAGATTTCAAGGTATATATCGGAACACTAACCTCACCAAAGTAGTTTGGATGTCTAGAAAACCTCCACACTCCAACGTCACACCATTTTCCTCTGTTTTCTGGAGAGTTTTTAAAAGAGAGCTTCTGTTGATCAGCTGCAGCTTCAATCAAGAAACCGAAAACCCACATTGTCCAACCGATTACATCTGTGGGTTTAAGAGATCCACCACCATCACTTGCGTTAACAACTGTAAGAGGTAAGCTCACCGTCCAAACCCACACGGCCTGCCATGGAAGCAAAAACGAACTTGAGATCACAAGCATTGATCTCGAGTTGGCTATAAAGAAGAGAAAGCAAAAAAGGTTTACCTGAAAAGTCCAGAAAACTATTAGTTTCACCAACTTCCCACGCATTTCATCAAAGCGTCGATCTTCCCCCCATTGCAAGATCCTAAAACGACAAGAGTGTTTGTCTGATCAGGAAGAAAGAAAGATATATTTTTGTGCGGTCATCAAACAAGTGTCTCGGTGCAGACCTCATTAGAAGGAATATCCCCAAGCGAAGACCCCATACCACAACTAGCAAAGTCAAGACTATCTGTGAGGAGAAGATAGCATCAGTGAAGAGAAGGAAACGCAATACATCAAATCACAATATGTGAGAAAACAGAGAGGAAAAACGAGAGAAGAAGAGAATCAGAGGAGAAGAAGCTGAAACTTACCTGCCGAAAATGCCAAGTGCCTTTAAGAACAAGAGTCAATACAGCAAGTATAACGAAGTTTGTGCTTCCTGAACATACAGAGTAACAGAGAGATGTTTTATGTAATGAAAACCAAATCTTGACTCCTACTTAACAAAAACTCACCAAAGGGACAAGAAACCTCTCTATATACAGAAAGACTCTAGTAGCAAAATTGAAGAAGCCATCAAGGACTCACCTGCAAAATCAGTGACTTGATCGATTTTGAATAGAGCGGTTATTACGAAGAATATGAACTGGTAAACCACCTGCAAATCATGGAAAAGAAGACTTGAAATTCGTAATTTCCAGAGAAACTATTGGACCTCCAAAAAGAAAAGTAAAAAAAAAAAAAACAGAAAAAGAGAAACGAAGATTCAAAATGGCAGAGAACTTACAGTGACGATGGCAGTGAGAGCCAGGAAATGCGAATCGAGAACCGTTCCCATTCTATCCAACGAGCAAAAAAAAAAAACAGAGTAGGTTTCAGAGAATAATAATTCTTTTTGACACTTGAGATCGAAGAGAAACGATTCGTTATCTCCTTTGTTCTTATTTATTTCCGTCTATGCGGAAAATTGAGAAAAGTCGCCATTTTTTTTAACATTGGTGTATTGCTAAGACACCTCAGATGGATTTATGTGGCTACGAACTAAACACCGTGCCGTTTTCACTTTAGTACACCAGAAGAGACTCATATAAAGAAGATATACACGAAACACCACATGTGCTTTGATTATTCTGCACAAGCAAAACGTTGTGAAACTTTAAAGAGTACACACTAATTGCTTCATAATCTCTCATACAATAGTTTGGAAACAATAGACTGTATCAACCTCGATGGTATACTCAAGTGTTGAAGATGGAGGAATCTGCAAACCCTCTCCGAATTCGACATTTTTGTCTCCAAATCCTAAAGACGGTGGAATGATCACTCTACGTTTGCCACCAGCTTTCATTGACCTCAGAACATATTCTATGCCTTGGCATAGTCCCTTGCTATATGGTCTTGAGTCCATTACCATCGCCAGTGACTTCTTCTTGTTGTTGTATTTGCTTCCAAATGTGTCGACAAACACTTGTTCGGTTCCATGTACTTGTCCCTTTACATCAAACACTACCAAGTATCCTGAGCTTGGACTAGCTCCGCTTCCAACTTGTACATCATAGTACCTGCACGGTTCAAATTCCCAATAGACAAGAGCTTGAGTTTGTGATGAATGTTTCAGAGCATATACAATATAGAGCCAGAACCATTGCAACTATTAATGGAAACTCTTTCTAATTGATGAAACATTATCAACATTGTGTGTTTAGGGAATGTACCTTATGCCATTTGGTAAGACGATCTCTTGTTGCTTTTCTAAATCTCTGCCAATCCAGAAAATTACACAAGAGATTTTTCAAGTTTGTGTGAGTATGATTACAAAACCAAAACGCATTTCAAGGACGAATCAAGTTTGTGTGAGCTCAACAGCAATTCGCTAATTCCTGGTCCTAATTGCAAACATTCATAATTTTTCCATCTTCAGTTCTTATCAGACTAAAAAGATTTCAAATGACTAACTTATTGGTGTGGAACCTTGTGTTAGCGTCTTCCGGGAACAAATCGAGTCGTGACTTCATCTGCTCCGAGACAACGCCGAAAGCGAGAAATCCCGCCCAGGCAAATCCGACGCTGATTCCGAACCGTCGCGTCACCGGAGAAGCCACCCAATCTGTCACATGTTGCTGCTGCTGCAATGTGACAGCCGCCGGTGCCGGATTCTCCGAGAAGGCGATGCTTAGCGGCTGAGATGGAATGTTCGGTCTCGGATGTTGGGAAGGAGAGACGAAACGGTGGTGGGAAGGAGCTGTCGCAGTGAAGAGAGTCGACATTTTCAGAGGATTTTCAAAAAACAGAGAAAATACATATTTTGATTAATACTCTATATCCGATTAATAAAAAAAGGAATAGTAACCTTATCTTGTTTGTGTGATGAATAAGACAAGAGTTCTCAATGATATTTTCTTCTTTTTTTTAGTTTTTTTTTTTTGTTGTTCTCTCTCTTTTTTACACTTTCAAATTTGTAAAACAAAACAGAGGAAATTACACATGAATATGATGAACATTACTAGCAAGCCACACAACACCACGCGAGAATGATCCTTTACCTTCTTCACTCTTCAATCTTCATCTTCCATGAGTTTGGTTTTTTAATAGCTCTAGTCACAAGCTGTGTGAAACACTGAAGCTGAGCCAAAAACCAAAAAAAGGAAACTCTGTAAGCTTTTCCCTTGAGATTTCCTATAACCAGTCAAAAAATGTTTTGCCAGTTTGGTCTTTCTCTTCTGTCATCTATCCTTTTGTTCCTTCTCAGCTGTTATTGAAGAAGAGCTGGGGACTGGTCTTGGGATGCTGGAACCTGTTACAGGTCTCTGTAGCCGCTTTAGAGAAGCCATGATCTCTGCAAAACTTGGCCTTAACCTTGGATCCCTAATAAACACACGCACACAAAACCCACTACATATATCAGCCAAATCATAAGAACAAGATAGCTTAGAAGCCCAAGTGTCAAGGTCGTTACAGAACTATAAGCCGTAAGAGAGTCAAGACTCATCAACAGAGAGATATGGATGTCCAGTGAAGTTGCTGTGGTGCAAACACTAAATACTCACGTTTGCCAGCATTTACTGATTATATCTGCAATTGCTGGATCGACAAAGTCAGGAATGTCAAGACGTCGGTGCTGAAACCCAACTGCCCCAACAACTTGCATGGGGTTCATCTTTCCCCACGGTTGCTGTAACGTAAAGAGTTCCCATAGAATCACACCGTAGCTGTAAACGTCGCACCTGTTTCAGGTATTGTATTTTTCTTGACATTAGGCCTACTTCATAAATAGGGAACAGAGAAGAATTTTGATGAGCAGAGCGAACTAAATGAAAAAAGAATGAAAATCATACTTCTCATCAGCAGGTTCGTTTCTAAGCACTTCTGGAGCCATCCATTCAGCCTGAAAGATACCAACACAAATTCAAGCCTAACTTAGATTAACAAACTAGCTATTATAACGGCAGAGGGATATGACTTAGAAAAGGGAGACGCTAACTTCTTAGCAGCTTACCGTGCCTGCTGTTGACTTTGAAGAGAGGTATGTGCTGTTTTTCATTCTAGACAACCCAAAATCACACACCTGATATATATGAAAAGCCGTTATTGTTATGCACACTAATTTGCTGTTACATAAGATAGAACATTATCCAATTAGTAAGAAATAAATTATTTTACGGAGAGAATGTTGACCTTCACAACCCAGTTTTTGTCAACTAGAAGGTTAGGTGACTTTAGATCACGATGGACAATCATCGGATTACAGCTATGCAAATAATTCATTCCACGTGCCTGAAATTTTTAAGAAACATGTTTCAGGTAACTCTATTGGAAGAACCCAGAAGTTGCAAACAGACGACAGAGATCAAGAATAAGAATGAACGAGAACAAGAATAATACAGCATCAAGGGCCATCCTTAGACGCCTCCTCTCGTCTAGTTGGCTATTAGGCCGATGGATTAACCTATATAAGCTCCCTCTGCACAAGTTTGAGATAAGACTAGTGAAAAGATTTTTAAAAGGAAAAAAAAAACGAACAACCAGAACAGAAGCTTTTCAAGCCATCGTGTAAGCCACACGTAATTAATATTTAACTTGCTTCCTCCAGAATTTAGGACTTCCAATGAAATACTTGTGCAGCAAATCGTTAATGCAAAGAAGATTTTGGTATATAGAGGACACAAAAAAATAGTTTAATTTTAAAAGAGAAAAACAGAGGCACACATGAGAATCATTTGGTATACCTAGGAAGAAACTCTGTAATAATTGAGAGATTCGGTGGACGGGTCACAGCTCCCATGAAGAGAACAATGTTAGGGTGTCTAAGCCTTTTCATGATTCGGACCTTGAATCATGTTGAAATGATAAATGTTACAAGAATATATAACATGGATTTGATATAGAACTATAAACAAGGAACATAGGGAAAAGGTTAGAGTAAAAGATCCCACCTCACTTCTGAATTCCTCCAATGCTTCTCCTGTAATATCTTGATCAAGGAACTTCTTGGCAGCCACTTCCTACCAAGTCCAAGAGTTTCAACAATATGGAACTCAAACTACGGAATTGCTTAAGTCTTTCTTCATCCAGTTCTATTCAGAAATCGTAGTGGTTATAATATTCCAAGAAATCTAATTCACCGTATAACTTGAAAAGCAAATATAATACTCACAGTCCCATGCCAATCTCCCCGATACACTTCTCCATAAGATCCTGTATCAAAAGAGGTAAAATTATGTAACAATTTGTAGAACTAGTTACACCAAAGCAGATAACAGATGATAAGCCAGGTACCGAGTCCAATGCGTTCCCCCAAAGTAATTTCCTCCCACGAAATCTCACAATCAGATACATCATCATCAGACTTGGAACTTTCGTTGCCTGTAGATCTGTCAGATATTTTTTCCCCTCCTGAATTTGACCCATGATGAGAGTCCCCACTACCTTGAGGCTCATGCTCACCTGAACCAGCATCCCCATCGCTATTCGAGCCTAATTCAAATTGCTTGGACACGGCTGCAGCTGTCGCCACAACTGCAGCAGCAGTGGCTGTGGCAGCAGCTGCAGCAGGAAGTTCTAAGCTGGAGGAGTCTGAATTTGCAGACTTGGCAGCAGCAGCAGCAACCATTGAAGATGCAACAACAGCCGCTGCAGCTACAGCAGCAGGTACGGTTCTGGCATATTCTGTAGAAGATGCTTCAGAATGTGGAGAATCAGATTGGCTAACAACTTTGCCATGATCATGTTCATCGTGTGTATTTGCTTTAGACTGCAGTCTTGGTAATGGTGGCAAAAACCGCACTTGGCCCAAATCGTTTTGTTGTCTTCCTTGCTGAGCTGCCTCTAAATCTATTCCTTTCTCTTTCTTAGCTTCAGTGGGAGATGTGATTTCAGTGGTTGCCTCTAATTGCTGGGGATAGACTTCAGAAAATAAATTGGGTGGAGCCACAACTCCGCTTTCAAGTAATACATCATGAAGCTTCTGAGCTAATCGTGGATTTTCTTTGGCAGCATCAATCATATATTGCGAAACATCTTTGACTTTCATCCTCCGCGCAGCTGGGGAGCTAACACCTTCAGTCCAAGAAGGTGACCTCATATGAGTGAAAGAATGAATAGGCCTGCTAGAGAGATTTTGAACAGGAGCCTTTTCAACATTTGTCACATCTTCCTTTGAAATATTTGGATGAACAATAATATCGCCTCCACCTCCGGATAGGTTTCTCTCCTTGGAACACTTGGTACAAGAACGATGTTCCCCTGTCCGAAGCTCTGGATTCTCTTCAAATGATCTCTCAATTCCATTGCTGGAAGAAGCTACCTGAAATGAAGCATTGTTTCCGGGACTAGCGGGAAGGACAGATTCATCATAGTCTATTTGTAGTCCAGCTGCATCAGCTGGAATAAGCGTGCCAGGATCTCCCATGAGATCAACAATGTACTCCCTGAAATTCACAAATGTATAACATATAATTCACATTTTCTTCCACAATGCCGCAGCATTAGCTTTAGGAGATGCAGATAAAGTAGCAAAGTCCATATAGACTTATGTACATATGCCTAGTTAAACATACCACATTAAAACTATACATGAATGATGGGAAAGTGTTGAATCTATACATAATGATGATTACCTGCCATCATCAGTCTTAATAAAGTTCATTGCCACATCTTCTGAACCGGTATATTGCTGTCCTTTGACTATACGGCAAGGAACATCAACGCTATCACACAAAACCTACAAAAGACAGAAAGGATGAAATAAACTTAAAAGTTAAAAATGGCAATTCTGCCCACATCTTCGATCGAATTTGGATTACAATAAGCTGAAAAATGTGATGAGATTCAAATGAAAAGGACCTTCTTTTCAGAAGTAAGCAAAAAAACTAAAAGAGAAGCCATAGTACATACTTTGAACAACAAGGCACGGTGACGAGCCAAACCAATAGTTAGAGAACCAAGCGGCAAAACCATGCTTCCGAGAGTTGCTTTCAAACTGTAGCTAAGACTCCGCCAAGCTCTCAACATGCTATATGGGTCAACCACTGGTCCACCCATGTAATCTCCAACTAAAATAGCCAGTTTCCTTACCAATTCACTGTTCACGAAACCAGAGGAAGAAACCGATTTTGATTTCGCAGCAATATCAAGAGCCGTCTTTTCAATTCTTAACAGGTTATAATCCCCACTTCTGTTAACAAGAACAGCTTCCCATGTCACACCTTCTGAAACAGGTGTCCCTTGAAGATCGAGTAAAGGAGGTATTCTTTCTGATGAGGATGCATTCAACACTCCATACAGGTCATAGAAACCATCCAAGATCTTGTCATCATAGCCAAGACAGTTATAATTCTGTGAATGCAAAAAACAAAAAAATTGACCTGAGGTGGATTCATATTTCAGAACACAATCAAGTAATTAGATTCTGAATTTTACTAGAACTGAAACAGATACACTTACCCAGTACCGGTAAGCAATGAGTTCTGCTGGAGAGTTCTCAGGAGCACAAGAGCCTAAGCTGAATTGCTTCATAGCCTCGATCTGAGCAGCTTCAGGATCCTCCCTTGCACTCAACTCTAAAGCCAACTGTATCTGATACTCTTCTTCAACCTCAGGGTCTTTGGCATCACTCGAACCCTGCTCGGCATGTTCCGACCCAGAAATAACGGGATCACCATGTTCCATGGCCTTGTTAACCTCTCTGTTCTTGGCATTGAACGAATTTGGTGGACTAGGGCTTTTTCTATTACCAACAGAGCTTAACCAACTAGATAAACCGGAGAAGGGTTTGAGCTCAGAGTTACTGCTATGGTGAGACCTCGACGAATCTGGAGGTGGTGATTCATCGCTCGACTTGAAGTTGTTCCTACTTGTTGAAATCGATCCCTCAGCTTCATCTGATTGATTCGGCGTGATATGCAATTTCCTAAGAAAGTTCTTCATGTTCATCTTCATACTCCGAATCCCAGAAAAGTGATCATCGTGTCTTAGAACTTCTCCACCGCCATGGAATTCCTCTTTTATTTTCATAAACCCTAATTCCTCGCCCAAACACGACCGCGGAGATTCGGAATTCGAATTCCCGATCAAACCTATCAGTTTTTTTTTTCAATCAACACCGTTGAAACTTTCGCCTGAATCTAAGTAGACCCCATCAGAGAGAGCAAACAAAAACCATTTTCTGGATTTCAAAACTGGAAAAATCAAACGGCATGAATGAGTTTCCAGAGCTTGAGCTAGTGAGAAACTCAGAAGCTCAAACACAAAGGAATTTTTCGCATCCACTCTTTTTCGATAAATCACGAAAATAGTTAAAAGCACACAACCCACTCAAATGAATAATCTAAAGCAACAAAAAAAAATGAAAAAGCGAAAAACTGATAATTTTTCCGTACAATAAACCTCTAATTCTCTCCTTCAGCAACAACTTGTTACTTGTTTCTCTCGTTTTCTCTCGCTCGGCCAAAAAAGCTTACGCCACTTTCTTTCTCTGTCTAAAAAGTCCGACAAAGAAGTGGAGAGAGTGGCTCTTCTCTAGAGCAATTAAATTTTTTTTTTTGTATTTTTGTTTTGTATATTTGTGGGTTTAATGAGAATTAAGTAGTACTTACTGTGACATGCAAACCAAAAAAAGAAAAAAAAAGGAAAGGCGTATCTATTTCATCCATCTCAGTGCGTGAACCTGAAAAGATGAGGAAGAAAAAGATATACGGGATAATTAAATTGCACGAAGACAGGCTTCACGTCAATTGAGGCATTTAAAACGGTTACCTTTTGTTTCTATAATAATAAAAAAAAAACCACAGAATCTGCACCCACTGTTTGTAACAATTACAGTATACTTTTTATGAAATTATGTGAATTTATATGGATCGGTTTAAATAGAAATTATCTCCCATTGACCCATTTCATCCACCAATAAATATTGACGAACTACGAAACAATAAATCAAAAGGCTTTTGGTCCTCATAATAAAATTATAAAAATGTCTTATTTATTAAAATATCTTAATAGGAGTATCTCTTTTGGGCAAAAAGGAATCACCATAAATGTCAAAAAAAATTAAGTCCAATAACTTTCTGTACTGAGAATGACTAGAAATGGCTTATTGTTTTAAGTAAGCTGTCAATTTTAAGAAGAAAAAGAAAAATAAAGAGAATTTAAACTGAATATTCCTGTGAAAAGATAACTCTATTTCGCACGTGACAAAATATATAACTTCGATGAACCTTACATAATGCAGAGTGAGTTATTTCACGAGTTACAGTATGATCAGTTATACTGCATTCGTGTAGAAAAAAAAATTGCAAACGCATTGAGAAAATCAAATCGCGAAATCGATATGTACATGTACATAGTTATTCTTTTTTTTTTTTGTTTATGCCCTCCATACGCACTTATTTTTTTCTTGTCGTACATAATAAATGTTATAAATTTATATTTATATATACGTCAACACTCACGTATGCGGTATACATGTATGATATATGTAAACAGGCAATCATTGTATCCCTCCGATGATCCCCTTGAAGAGTGAGCTGTGTGCCAATAGTCGCCCAACACATCCACTTCACATTTTTTTGATTGTCCGTCCATTAACATTATTTGTATTTTACTATTTTATAAGTAGGCTGGGTAGTATTTGTAATTCACAATGTGTATTATATTATATTAATAAATATGTGTATATATATACGATACATAAATAAACTAAATATGTGTAATTATATATACATACATAAATAAACTTAGCTGTGGGTCAACTCTATGACGTCCACACGATTGTGAGGTCAGAAACCACACATTTAAGGTAACTTATTATGAGTAGTTTGCATTTGTTTCCACCATATGTTATTTTTTTTGTTTTGTTTTCCACCATATCTTAATATTGTAAAACTAAGTTAAACTCTCCCCGTCAAATGAATGATTTATAAACACCTAAATAAGTTATCTATTTTTCAAAAACAAGTTATAAGTTAAATTATAGAAATATATATATATATATATTGTATTGGGAAATTTAAAAGCCGATCAAGGGTAGTTGGCCAACAATTAATTTTGGGCGGCTAGAGATTTGTCCAAACTTAAAAGAAAGATTTTGATCACCAAAATATTTAATTCGCTCGAATATTTGGCCCATTCGTCATATGACACGTCATTACTCAACCCTCCCGTTTATATACAACAGAAACGCAAGCCAAGAATCAAAAGCTTAATGCGAATATTCGGGTATTATGAAAATGTTCAAAACAAAAAGAATATGCGGGGATTTTGACGTCATATATGAACATAATATTAGCAAGAAAACTAATCACTATTAAAATTTGAAATGGTAAATAAAAAGTAAGTGGTGATTTTACTACACGTTAAGTTTGATTTAAGCCAATTGAACAAACGTTTACGTAATAATAAAACCTCGCGTGTGTTTAGTCGGAGTCTCAGATAAGAGTGCTCACTAGACAATAGGCCAAACCAAATTAAAGCAAAGCAGGAATTAAAAAGGTAAAACCGTAAATAAATCGAAAAAACATTCGGTTTAGAACGGGATTTTGGGGGTTTGACTACTTTGACCGAAGCGCGTGGAAACATCGACGCGCGAGTGGAAGTGGTGACTATGCCACGTCATAGTTATCCAATCCCGAAAAGCAACCCTTTTACAGTCTCTTTTTTTGTTTGCGTAATAAAGCGAAAAAACAAAAAAAAAATTGGTGCATTCTAATTAGTGCCAGCCACACATTTTTTGGATGCTGGGGACCACTTCCCCACCTATCACCTCTCTCTCTCGTTCTCTCTCTAACAATTTACATACTTTTTTGTTTTCTTTTACACATTTTATATATTTTTTGTTTTCTTTTACACAATTTTATATACTTATGCACGGTGGCTCGGTGCCATGGTGGATTAGGAATTCAGGCTGTCATTATCTTTTAATTCTTTTTGTTAGCAGAATGCTTAGATTAATAATACAAATTGACAATATAATTATGTTTATCAACGGTGTTTGTAAGCTAGTGTTTTAAATACTGCGATTATTGTGTATTGTTCTAGTTTAACAGCGGTTTATTTTGACAAAAAAAAAAATTTGTTGAATGCGAATTGTATAACTTTCTTTGTTTTATAAACGTTTTGAATGTTTTGATGGATTTAGCATATTTGTATTTAAATGGGCTTAGGCCCATTTATGTGCGATCGCCCAGAGTTTAATATCATCGGTTTAGCAGACCGCAAGTGAACCATATAATTTAAGCCGATTTCGTAATAATTGAAACTCGGTTTTCTCCTATAATTTGAAAATTTTGTTCTTTCTGCTGCGCGCGTCTCTCTCTTGCAGGATCAATGGGAGCAAGTAGGAGAATAAATGAAGGAAAAAAGAAAATGGAAAATAGTAGAAGAGAAAAAGAAATGTTTCGCTTCTCACTCGCACTTGGAGTTTGGGTTTAACTGTTGTATTTAACATTGTATCTTCTTGTTTTCTACTTCTAATTCACATTGCCTTTTAAAATGATGATCCATAAACTTTTAAAATGATGATTTCATAAACAACGAGAAATTGGGGGCAATTGTTTTATTAACCAAACATACTAAAGACTACACCTCTTCTGCTTATATGACTTACTCATATGTACGGTTTTACACAATTCCAAAAGCCCTCACCCAAAAAAAAAAGGAAAAGAAAATATTCCAAAGGAACCACGTGACACATACACATGAGCCACGTGCTATCCGACGGTCTATGGTGCGGGTCGGAGGTACAAAGGAAGCCAATTGGTTGGGTTAGGGTCTGAGCTCCAGACAGAGAAGGCACTCGTACATCGCATCCACTGGTTCGTTAGGTTTGGGAAGTGTCGGTCTATTACATCCTTTAAAGTCTCTGTAGTATTAACCCACTCTAATCCTTCTTTAGTATAAGTCTTCTCGTTGAAATTCGTCGTGAAAAACCGATCTGCCTCTAACCTCCTATTCATTGTTCATTAAACCAAGTCAATTAAGTTGACTTCCTTGTAACGCAAGAAAATACTCTGTTTTAATTACTGCTAGTATAATTTGATTTTCTTTACAAAAAAATAAAAAAATTTACAAACCTGGAGGCGACGAGGAGGAAGATGAAGAAAGCAGTTTCGCTAATAGCGAATCCTTTGATCTTCTTCTCTGCGTGCAATCCCACGTTTAGATCAAGCTTGTCTATATCGTCTCCATACACTTCTCTTAAAACCTCGATTGCTTCTTCATCATCTGTCAAATCTTCCCATTTGCTGATCGGACTCATCAACAGATTCTTTCTGAATTCGTTATATCGAGGAACTCCTCTCTCCCGATCTCTATAAACTGAGAAAAAATAAATCAATTAAAACCAAATCAATGGATTCTCGTATCAATCGGTCAGAAAATTGGTGATATAGAAGAAGAAGAAGAAGCATTGATTTTGACTTACTCTCCAAGGCAGCCATATCTATAAGGTGAGGCCTATCTTCTCCATCGATATCTTGAGCCACAAGTTTCCTCATCCAATTAGGGTAATTCCACAATGTCAACGCACCACAAGATTGGTGTCCCATTGAAACCAGTAACTGCTCAAATCCAATTCTCGAACCCTTTTTGCCTCCCTCTTTCCCGATCAATTCCGTCATCGGCACCCTGTTCAACAACATTTTCTAGGTTAACAAAAACTGCACTTGGGTCGGTCCAAACAATGTACCAAACATGATCTATGTGTCTTACTCTCGTTCTATTGCAGGGTTTGCTTTGTCTACATTCTCAGATTTCATATCTCGGAGGATAAGTGTGTCTGGTAAAAGACAATGCATCCTGTAGACACTAACGAACTCTTCCGTAAGCGAATAAGGAACTCCATGATCTTTTGGTTTCTTGAGGCCAACTAATCCGCTAAGTATAGGACCAAATCTTGCCCCAATCGTGTCCTTCACTTTCTTCCCTAAAAAACCATACCAATTGATCCTCATCCCAGCAGTGAGTGTGTCTGTCTTCAAGAGCTCTATTGTCCAATCGATCGTGTGAACCTTAGCGATAACCGCTGCTGTCACCAATCTTGCAGTCCGGTAAAGTTTCTCGTCATCAAATTCTGGATACCGTTCCTGAAAAAAAAGGTCAAAACTTAGTGTGAGGCTACTTGTAACACAAGATATATACTATAACCTAATTAAGTGATCAATCAGTGTCTTACTTTGAGCATTTCACATACAGCGTTGTGTTCTTTTACAAAGAGAGCTTGCAACAGAGAGAAACCTGACCAACTGTTTCTTATGTCACCGGAGATCGGAATACCTCTTTCGTCTCTCTCCAACAAGCCATTCCCGGAGATTTTTAGCTTCCCGTCCTTGAAAACTCTTACTCGTCTCATTCCAGCCTCGTCATTTCCATAAATTACACTCCCGTCCCTATTTCAAAAATAAAAATATATATTGTAAAATCGAACTCTGATGATAATTAAACTACAGTTAAGCAGTGATTAAGCACAGGTTTGACTGCAAAATACGTACCACCAGGGGGTTCTTGTGTTGACAGCAC